CTCTCCCCCCTGCCGTTAAACCAGCTGCAAGTGCCTGCGGGAGAAAACAGCTGCTCATCGAGGAAGAGGGGCTGGTGCATGTGGATTGGCTCTTCTAATAGCTGATCATTATTCCTGCCGATTTATAAGCTGATACTAAGTTATGGGAATACTGATAAGTTATAGGAATCTGCAGCAGCGTTGGGCAAAAGCCAGAATTTCAAATCAGGGTCTGTTCAGGCTGAAGTGTCAGTCAATAAAAAGAATTCTCATGTGCTTTGGAGTTGGTAGAAACTTCAATTTGCTTCCAAAAGGCCAGAGATGTGGAAGGAGAAAAGTGAGGAGTGTTGCAGTGGGAGTGAGGTGTCACCTTTTTGTGGGCAGGTTGTTGCCTTGATGGAGCACTCTCAAATTTAGTAGTGATACACATTTTTTTTTTTTAGCATTTTGCTTGCCCAGGTGATGATTTCATTGTTGTGAAGAAACCAATCCTGTCTCCTTTTTAAAAAATACCAATTCTCTGTCATTAGCCTCAGTATCTGCTGTTTTGAAAGCTCACAGAAACCATAGTAACAACAAAAATGAGCTCTGATTAGAGGTATCTCCATTCCAGGATTCCTGTGGGATTTCTGTGCAGCTCTACTGTGCGTGACAGAACAGAAAGTAAGGACTGAGATGCAGTAAACATTGATGGTAGAGTGCTGAGTTAATGTGTCACTGATGATGTATTGCTGAGACACAGCTTGTAATTCTGACTTATACAAAAAAACTTTGTATAAAGAGTATCTGCTTCAGCCTAGGGCCTGGGGCAAGGTGAGAGGGGGAAAGATCCAAAACTGTGCTACTTTTAGAAAATTTGGAAGAATTAACAGAGATATTTATTGGGAATGCTTTCTTCAGAGTTTATGTGGAAATACTTCCAAACATTTTGTGAGTTTTGAACTTGAATGCTGCTGTGTATTCACACGTGATATGTCTCGAGCAGGGGGAAGTGGCCGACAGAGGGGATGTCTTGCTCAGAGCCATGCTTCTGGTGGTGCTTTTTTTGGAAAATAAACATCCCTGGGCCTTACCCCTGTTCTGCCAGGCAACTTTCTGTTGTTTTAGCCATCTGGTGAAAAAAAATCACAGCCAAAATTTTGTTTTAATAAGTGTATGCATTGCTGTAAAGACTATTTTAAATGACATTAATACAGTTGCCCTTTATAAGCTGAAATCCATCAGTGGATTATAAAAGCTAAGAAAGAAAATAAAATAATATAAAGAAAAAAAAAAAAGTAGAAGAATACCACAAAGCCTTGGCAAAACAGACCAGCCAGACATGGTTTTAATTTGGTCTTGGGGCTCTGAAGGCTCTGGGCAGTGGCTCAGGGGGAGCTACCTGTGCAGCCCCTGGCATGGCCATGCCCACGGTGTGTCCCTGCTGCCCAGGGCAGGTGGAGAACACCCAGCCAGGGCAGCCTGGGCCATGCCAGAGTTGACCATGACTCATTCTTCCTGTCACATGAACCCTTCCTGCTTTGCTAATAAGCACTTAGTTGAATTTTAGATGCCTGGAATTATTAAAAAGGCTGGAAGGCATTTGTGTACCTTGTCCATTAGGAGAAAAATCTGTTTTCTATAACTGTGTACCTTCCACGGCCTCTAGCTCAGCTTTGAGAAGTAACTACGTTTTTGTGTCATTACCTGAACTGCAGTGGTTTGGAGCTAGCAGTGCACTCAGCTTGCATTCTCCCACACCAGGCAGTGGTAAGAGTGTGTTTTTCTTTTTACCACTGAAAAGAATACCCTGTAAGGATTCCAGTGGTAGGAATTAATATTACTCTCAACTATCTGTGTCCTCTTTTATCTCATCTCTTGAAGTATTGTCACATCTGGTGCTCTCCTTTCCCCCTCCTTGGTGATTGTACTTTCAGGTTGTATGTGTCTTCTTACAAACATCAGGGTTTAAATTTCTGCCCCCCCCTCCTCCAGGAGAGCAGGTCGCACAGGGCGTGTGGTGTCCAGTGTCCCTGGTGATTCAGAGTCTTTCCTCCTCTGTTAATAGCCTGGGTCCTGCATACACAGAAGACAAAATGTGTAGAAGGACTGAATTTTCATGGATGGACTGAAAATAAGCTTGGTGTGGAGCATTTCTGAGAATTCATAGAGCAGATATGGGGCTGGGAGAAACTGAATCCACTAGTTTGACTGTTTTACAGGATTATCCCTTAGTTTGGCTCTCGTGCTGTGTGCAGGCTACTCCTGGGGTTCTGCAGCAGTGCTCTCTTTTTTATTATTTTTTTAAGCTTATTTTAATAGGCAATTACTTCTTGAGTTTGCATTTTCTCTTAATGACTGAACTCCATGGAGTTTATAAAATAAGGCATTTTTGTTTCTGGGGACAGGCTCACGCTGAGTTAGCTGCTTTGAAGAAGATGAAGCTGCATTGCTGTTACAGGAGCTGATGCAGCTTATGGTGTTAATTGCTGGTGTGCTAATTAAAGCTGCATCCATGGAGGCACGTCTGGAGGGAAGGACCCGCGGCGGGGTCAGGGTGTTGCAGATGGCTCCTGCCAGCAGCTGGGCGGGAGCTGCGCGGGCGTAATGCGGATTACATTTTCATCTGGATCGCTTAATTTCTCCTTCAAGGAGTGGTTCAGCTCAGTGCCACGTGGGCAGTCCTCACCCAGCAGGATTGGGATGACCAGCTGTTTTTTTTCCACCTCTCCTGTTTGGAAAATGGATGGGGAGAGGATGGAGGCTCCCTTTAGAGCAGCAAGGTGAGCTTCACCTGGCAATGACACAGAGTGCAGGGCTGTGATGTTCTTGTTGGTGCTGCTGTCAGTGCTGCTGAATTTTTTCTCCTGCTTCCCAGTGTAGTTTCTTCCTTTCCTCCAACTCAAGGCATTTAAACCAGGTTCAACTCCTTTCACAGCAGGTGTGTTTCAAACTCTTTTGAGGTGGAGCTGTTAACACAGCAGGGTGAGGAGGACATCTGGGTGAAAAGCCAGCAAGGACACTGGGACACTGTGCCACAGAGCTGCAGGTCCTCCTCCTGTGCACACTGGGGGTTGTGCAGCTGGGAGGGGTGTGTGCCTGGAGGGCAAGGGCAGAGACAATCCATGCTCTTCTCTGCAATCTTTTAGGGCTGAGGTGGCTCCCCATTCACCGTGCAGCTGTGGTTTGGATGCAAAGGTCCAATGAATTGCATTTAAATGTAAGAAACAGTTTAGGCTTTTTCATAGAGGACATGGATAGTTTGATCTTGGATCTAAGGCAGCAAAAGGAATAAAAACCCAAGACATGAAAAAGGTAGGTATAAAGCAAGACTTTAATTTAGAACTGTGAGCTGATTGGCTGATTTTTTTCCCCTGATAAGATATACAAATAAAATAAGAATGTGTCCTCCCCTCCCACCTCCTCACGTTAAATGCTTGGGAAAGACTTGAATGGCAACATGTCTCCAAAGAAAAGAAAGCAAAATATTAGGGATGACTTCTAGACCATTAGCAGGAGTGTGCAGGAGGGACAGTTGAAGATGTTAAGGGAGAAGTGGCAGGGTTCTGTGGTGATGACAGGAGAGGGCAGTACCTTTGTGTTCAGGCAGGTGGTTCAGTCCCAAGGTGCTTTTTTGAAGTAAGTTGTCTTCTGCATCTCAGCTCAATTTCTTTGCTGACAAGATGATGAGAAGTGGAAAGAAATAAAAAATGAGATGGCAGCTAGTTTGTAAATTCCTTTCTGGTGTGTTTCTGCGTTGAATGCTTCTGGCCTGGCATCACCAGCTGCTCTGCTCAAAGCCAACCTTTGCATCCCAGCTTCATGCAAGTGGTGCTGTGTGTTTGATGAGCTGCTTGGTTATTTATACAGAGCCTGTGGGAAGTGCAATGCACAAAATAAACTCTGTTTCAGTGTGTCTCTTTTCAGTCACACAGTGTGAAAGGTTGAAGGGAAATGGCAAAATTCATACTTACATTATCATTGTATAATGTATCCATGGAAAAATCCCCACCTTCCTTGGCAAAGCCACAGGCAGCAGTGTAGGCTTTTGTTGGGTATCTCGTGGTATTCCTTCAACTGGAATGGATGCAGCTCCTAAGCAGTGTGGGCTGAGCAGTCTGAGGAAGTGGAAAGGTACTGAAGGGAGGTGTGCTGTGCTTTGCCAGAGGCCAGGGCTGTGAGGATGCTATTTAAAACCACCTTTCAAGTGGGAGTGCTTTAGAGGGAGCCTGAGCAGCTGCTGCAGTGTCCTGTGTTGCTGTAGAGCAGACTTCTTCCAGAAGAATCTGTTGTATGCAATTCAAACTAGAGGGGTAATTCCACAGAACGGGAGGCACACCATTAACCTCTCCTGCCTGGGGGGGTCTGTTCAGCTGCAGAATGAAGAGGAGCCAGGTGAGGCTGCCCCGGTGGTGAACGACGCGCCGCCGCCCTACAGCAGCATTTCTGCCGAGGGTACAGGTATGTCCAGCCCAGAGGAAGGAGCTGGGATTGCTCTCTTCATCGTTCTCCTTATTGATGGATGGCATTGCAGCATCCCTGCCAAGGCTGTGAAGGATCAGAATTGATCCAGAGAGGCTGTTGTTACTTGTGGTTTAGAAGAAGTATTTTGGTTACATCCATCTGATGTCATCCCATCAAGGAGGGTTCAAGTTACATTTCACAGTGTTCTCAGTAGATTGGAGACAACTAAAATCAAAGTGCTGCGAGGATTTGTGGTTCCCCTCTCAGTATTTGGCACTGGGATGATGCTGTGCTCCTTCCACAAATGACTTGTTACTTAAAGGGGATCGAAGAATTCACTTTTTCTGCAGTTTTCATTAGCTCAGGATGCAAGAGTTGTACTTCTGAGTCTTCATGCTGTCAAGTGGCTAATAGCTTTTAGCAGAACAGCTAGTCTTGTGTTGCTTATGGATCAGAGTATTCTGGCTAAGGTAAGTCTTGTCATTTTTTCCCTCCAGAGCTTTCAAAGTCAATTTTTCAAATAACATTTGTGAGACAAATGCAGCACAGTGTCAGTTTCTCAAGCAGGCAGCCAGCTTTGGAGAGAATCTGCAATGTTGTGTTTCTCAAGCTGCTGATAGAGTGTCCTGCCTGGACACACTGTAGAGATGTTCTATTGGGTCTGGGTCTCAGCAGCTGGGGCTCAGAAATGCCCATTTGATTTTTATTCCAATCTCTTTCCCCTCCATCAGAAAACAATTTGGAGTCTCTCTCTGGAGAAACTGATCATGGGTGGCCTCAGGCTTGCAGTGATCCTTCTCTGACTCTCCTGGGATTTGAAAATCTGACTGCTTCTGTTTAATGAAGCCAGGAGGGACACATCCTGTGTCATTATTTTAAAAATAAGTCCTGCCAAGTGTGGTGTAGTGCTCTGCCTGTTGCTGTACATTAGATAAGGTGCTCCTGTGCTTTTCACTTTCTGTTTTGGGAGGGCAGGAGGGTGGGGAGGGGCAGGCTCCATCAGTCTGGGACACAGATG